CGGTCTCTCCAGAATGTACAAGCTCACGGAGGAGATGTAGAACGTACGTTTCGTTATCTTTCGAGATCACTCGAGCTACCGGCAATCTGAACTACCACCTCATCCCTTCAACCTCCTCTCGATGCTCTCAGGCGATCAGTTTTCTCAGTTTCTCGTGCTTTTTCCCGGTTCGTACCACCGCGGCTGTATGAACCAAAAGAGGGAGGGAAGCTTCAACCGAGCATCCCCGGGCTTAACGCGAATACACTTCTATGTGTCTCACGCACGCACACGTATACAAGGTGAGTCGCGAACGCTTACGAGACGGGGAGGGGGGGGGGGCGGAGCTTAAGAACAATTTTCGATTCGTGATAATACGAGAGCTTTCAGTTCGGCTCGGTAGAGTTTACTGTTGGTTTCAGACAAAGTTTATCGGAGGATAAACTCACGACAAAGTTAAAGAGAGTGCAACGTGATCGATTTTGCACGGTCTGTTGTGAAACGAAGAAGAAACGACAAAAAAGTATGTAATAGCGAATGATCGCGAGCTGAAAATTAATAGTGTATACACAGTTACGACTGAAAGAAATGGGGAACGCCATTTTTGTAGACCCGGTGAGGTCTTACAGCGTCACGCGACCTTACGAGAGGTGACCTCGCGAGGCGTCCTGTGTATATATGTACGTAAAAACCTATTCGTCGTAGACGAATTTCAAGACAGATCGTTTTCTCGCCCCTCTCTTGTTATCGAGAAATGCATCTTACTCGAAGCGAACTGTGTCCACTGACCGTCTTCGGCCCTCTTTGCCACCCTTTGCCACCCTCAGCTATCCTCTTCTCTCGAGCTACTCGCCTCTTCTCTCGAGCGACTCTATGAAATCTCGTGCAATCCTGATGCACAATTTTCCGCTTCGATATTTTCCGGCATACAGAGCACGTATGTTTCTTTCTCCGCTTGCCCTCTGTAAGTGGAATATGTGTGTGCGCGTGTGTGCGTATGCACATGCAATTGCAGGTGCAGCGCGCGTCAGTATCGGTGCGAGTGTGTCCGGATGTAATCGAGCAAGTGGAACGCGGAAGAACGAACGAAAGAAAGGACGAATGAGCGAGGAAAAATTGTGATCTCAATGGGGTTGATGACTTCACTCGGCAAAGCCGAATACTGTCGGCTGGCTCTTTTATCGTGCGGAAACTTTTCGCCAACCGAATAATTTAGGAGCTCTGTTATTTTCAGTTGCAGTCATAAATGTATCCGCTGCTAAAACATGCTTTTCTTTCTGCGATTGATGCATTACTTCAATAACAATATCCAAAACGCACGCTGGCGCTGACGCACATTTGAGTAAATGGAGTAATTGATTATCAATAATTATTAATGCTTGTAAAAAGCAAAGTTGTATTAATATGATTGTTGCCGCGATGACGGGCAGAGATAACGCGATAATTAAATAACTAAAGCGTATTGGTTGTCAAGATGGAAAAAAAATTTATATCGGACGGATCATTGTAGTATCTTTTCTGCATTTTACGCACGCGATTGTCTCGCACTCGCATACATGTATAAAGTAATAATAACGCGAAATATTATCGCCAGCCTTTTAAGTTGTCCCCACACTCTTTCCCTCTGTTACTCTGTCACGATTAATAAAACGTGCGTAAACACACCACTCAATCGATCATACGGGTATAATGCTTAATGGGTGTAACCCGTGTGATGCGTGTGAAATATGAATATTTACTTAATGCGGCTAGACGTTGGTCCATAAATCAACGTACTTCATAATCTATACGGGCCCTCCAAATGCATAGACCGTATAACGAGGCATTGCACCACGCGCGCACTGTGCATTAAATATATTAATGGCGATATTAACACAAAGGTGGAAATAATTTATGGTACCGCGAATGTCAAACGGGAGCGCTCGCGCCAAATTTTCGGCAGCGGTCCGAAGACGCGCGTGACACAAAATGCGCCAGCGGTAAATATAAAATGACAAATTTTTATCAATTGATCCTAAAATCTGAATCTTTTATTTCGTGTATCTTTCTTATATCAAAAGAGAGGAAGGGAGGAAGAAGAAGGAAAAAGAAAGCTCGCGAGTTTTGTTCGCGGGCGTAAATGTGTGCGTTTCTGCTCTAAATACTTTATAACCAACGAATTTATTTTATTATCAACGATTGCTCTCCTCCCAAAATCTGTGGCATCGACGAAAGAGAGAGAGAGAGAGAGAGAGAGAGAGAGAGAGAGAGAGAGAACATCGAGTATATATAGTGAAATAATTGACCCACCTATAGATGATCTAATTACCAGCTATGCGGTGCTTGAACCGCGGTTTATATTACCGATGATAACCGACACCACAAAGTCGCATGGTTGCGTACGTGTACGCACGTACAATGTCAATCCCTACGTACGGTTGAGTGTTTAGCTAACCCAAATGAATGTTTCGCGTAATTAGGAGAGCTGCGTCGCGTGTACATGTGCCCCGCGATATGTCGTGACTAATAGACGTGTAAATAGTCGCAACTCTGTTTATTTCCTCCCGCGACGTTTCGCGCGAGACGAAGGATGAATTCGCTATTAAGTGTGCCAAAGTTTCTCTCTCTCTCTCTCTCTCTCTCTCTCTCTCTCTCTCTCTCTCTCTCTTTTTCTCTTCCTCCCTTTCTACGTATCCGTAATAGAAAATTATTATAGACACGGTAAACTCAATAATAATTCGCGTTGTACTTTATCTTTGTTCTTACTCTTACTCAATTATTTCTCTCGCTCAAATTCCAATTACCGAGTAACTTTTAATCAATAGCGTGTAATTTGCAACGTCAATTTGCCTAGCCATGCGCAGTGCACGATCACGACAAGAGCGCGCAACTTTGCGTATAATTCGCGCTGATGTAAAATTTACTTCTATTCGCGCGTATCAGAAAGACCTGCTTGCATACGACAACTACGCAATTATTCAACCGTGTTGAATCGCGACATGTGAATCGCGCGTTTGCATTATTACACGATAAGCATTTGTACAACCCGGCGTGTATGACCGACCGGGGGATATCGAAAAGAAAGAAAGAAAGGACCGAGCGACTATTGGATTTTCACTTGGCGCCTTCGTAGGATAAATTCGAATCCCTTTTGGTAGCACATACGCGTCAGTCCCGCGCTAGCAAAATTGCACGTACACACGTGTCCGCGGAGGAAAACATACGTGACTCGTATACGAAGCGCACGACGTTTCGTGCAATTTCCCCTCGTATCAAGCGAAAACTCGAAACAATTTTATATTGATGAAGAGATTTTCGCCTCGTTACGTGGAATATACGACAAAGTTTATTTATGCGCAAAATATCGCTGAATTTGAAATGCTTAAAAATAGCTTCCTAAATATTAATTGCATGCAATATCAATTTCCGCCAAGTACGATAAAATAACAAAAACTCTTAATATATTTGCTGAAATCTCATCTCAATAGATTGAATTTTTCTCTTTTAGTCTTTTCATTCGTGAAATAGATCTTTTTTTTAATTGAATATTTTTCTGTAAAGAAATCGCAACTCGATAATCGATCGTAATCGATACGATACGAGAGGACTCTATATTACCAAAAATCCGAAAATATCGAAGTTCTCCTTACGCGAGAAGAAGGTGGAAAAAGCACGGGAAATGCGAGAGCAGCTTGCACGCGTATTCACCCGGCGCGCAGAATAAATTCTCACTTGAATCACAGACAAAGAAGGTTTTTCCGAGAAAATGCCGGCGGGAAATATTTGCGGGGGAAAGTGCGACGTTGCTTCTACCGCCGCGCTGTCTCTCGAGTTTTTAGTCCGCGACGGTAACCGTCGGGGGAACGCGGCTTTTACCACTTCACAAAGCAACAGAAATCATTATCATAAGAAATTACGTCTGGGCTTTAGGGCGACAGCCGGCCGGCAAAAAAGGAAGGAAAAACCGAATGAGATATGGATCGAGAAATTATCGAAATTATATACCACGCTTTGCTCCAAACGCGCTCCAAACATCTCGATTAAATGAAATGAGTTGCAACGTAAAGTTTATCATGAATATAAAAACATTTCTCACAAATTTATGAAATAAGTATGAAACATAGTATAATAATATAATCAAAAATCAAAAAATGTATAACTATTATACAGGTTGTATACGTATGTATCAAAAGAGATTAGCGAGCAATATTTTAATAAATTATCCTGGAGCTTATTTGCGACGAGTTAAATATTTACATTTACACAACGACGCTGAGCGAATATCGTACAACAATATCGATGCAACGTCCTTTTTCTCTTTTACCTCAAAGCGGGATTTATGACTTTGATCAGCAAGATATGAATTTACCGAAATATACATTTCCGGCGGTTAAAATACTCTCGCAAATCGCGAATTACGTATAGGAAATAACGATAACTAAAGATCGCGGAGATTTTGTTGAAATCGAAAACACAAAAGCTAATATTGTCTTCATTCTCTGAAAGAAAAAAAAACATGCTTCCCGTTTCGTGTATTTGTGATGCGTTATAACATCGTTTTAATAAACTCACAGCTTGAACATCATGAATTAAAATCTGCGAGTGAGGTAACCGTGAATTCCGTGATGCGTGGTGGCGCAATTCTGATACGCATTACATATAGCTCAAAAACAATCGGAGAGGATCGTATTGCATGGATAATTCTGTTGAATGACTGTGGAGTTTGAAGCAAACGTAAGAATAGAAAATTTTTAAATATATCAGATTCATATGAATATTAATTTATTACATATTAAGAGAGATGAATTTAAATATTAAAGGAAATATTCGTTATATTTCAAATATATATTAAAAGAGATAAAATATTGTTTCTTAAATAACAATCCTTTAATTATTTTGAGTATTATATTTGTCCAACTTTATGTCAATACGTATATACGTAAAAGTTGGCATGTAAGAATCTACCAATAAATTAAATTGCAATAATTCTATAAAAAACTATCATCTTATATATATATGTGTCTTTTATTGATCTCACTCACCAAATATTCCGGAACTCGAAGCAGTCTGTAACTAACCACCACTCGGATCTGTAACTAAAAATATAATTTTGTCAGTTAGACACGAGTGTGATATCCGTATGTCCTACATTCCTATGAATGTCACAGATGTAGTGAGCTAATGCGACGAACATGATGACGTATTAATAACGTCAAATGGTGTATTAAAAATGTACTAATGACGTCAACGATGTCATTTATATTTCATCACGTTTGCTGAGAGATTTGCTTTTACGAATCGTCGTACGAATCCGAGTCACTCGTACGATGATATCGATCTCCGGACATCGACCGCGCGAGGTTAGATAAAAAAGGACGGCAAATACATATACGTACCTTCGAGCTGACTTTGTCGAATCAACCCGAGTCGGATTTTCCGGTGCTGCATCCGTATTCTCGTGTGCGAAGACTGTATCCTTCGGAAATACATCTACTGTACAAACGCACATTCTATCTGATCTAAAACAAAAGATATATCTTCTAGTTGCGAACGACCGTTGCGGCGTATTTATATTGAGGTTATTCTAAAAGTTCGCGAAGAATTGAGAAACGGAACACAGATTCTCACCTCAATTATCCTTTAACTGCTCGCGGTCAAAAATCGAAATACTTGGTGTATAACATAGCGAATGCCGAAGCGAAATCAATCGCGAACAGAGCTAAATTCTAACAAACGCAGGACAAATGCTAACGTACCTGTATATATTCCAGTCCAATCGTCGTATAATTCAAATATGGCTACGCGAAGTAAAAAGGCGCCAAACGTGCGCTGCGCGCACGCAGCGAGCGCCTCTAGCGTCTAGTATATGTATGATATGTTTCGTGTCTAGTGTTCAGTTATCTTCTAGATTCTATGTTGCCTTCACTGCGCACTGACGCCATTATTTCGATCGCGGCGGCGCGAATAACGTAAGTTGGTATTCTGTAACGTCGATTCCTTTCCAAGTGTCGGAAAACGCGAGCGGATTCAAGGTACGTGTTTACTCACTAAAATGTTTAAAATGATTGCGGTCTCGTGTTTCTCAGGTGTATATATTTACGTGTGTCGTGATATTGAATGTCACGCGCACTTTCGGTGTAACGGTACAACTCGGAATTTGTTTCTCATCGGCGATATTGTCGACGAAGAAAGAAAGAGAAAGAGAGAATGTTAGTATCAGAGTTTGAAATAGACTGTCTCTCTTTCTCTCTATCCCTACTGTGTGTGTGTGTGTGTGTGCTCATATCTCTTTCTCTTTCTGTCTCACCTAATGCCTATTAACGAATAATTGAGGTTATGCGTAACGGTTGACGAACATCTCTCGTATACACATGATATCGTATTATTTTTATTCACGTATCGGATCGAGTCGCCGATAACTTGGAATGAAAAAGATAGAAAATGATTGCATTTTTCGACTGCATTTTTCGGCGAAAAGAACCGATGGGGGCCGGTCGTTAGTCGAGAAACAGCCGTTATTAGAAGAAGTTATTAATAACGGTGAGGTCTGATATCAGATCGGGGGAGGTCAATTGTAAAATATTTCGTACAAAGTACAAAGTTGGGTAAATTGGAATAAAAATAGAAAAGGAAATTCTGCGGCGAGTTAATCAATAAATCGATTCAATAACACGCAGAAGCGTATCAATAATATGTTTATATTTGTTGTATTGGCTGTTTCAAGTCATGGTACGACTACAAACTGCGCTGGGAGCCGAAGGAATACGGAGGTGTTCACATGTTGCACGTGCCCTCCGATCACATATGGCGGCCCGACATAGTGCTCTACAACAAGTAAGTCCATCGACACTGCGTCTTGTTTCTGATTTTTATTATTATGGATCCACGTTGATCTGGAGACACATATATATGTATATACATATCTATACATATTGTAGCGGTATAGCATGATACCGAGAGAGAGAGAGAAATACAACAAACGGAATCGAGCGGATACACGTTTAACACGCCGCGCGCTCTTTTATTACAACTCTTTTATTACAAAAAATTTACGTCGCCTTTTGCGACGCAATTTTTGCGGTCGGCACATCCCTTCAAATTGTGACGTAAATGTGATGATTTAAATCAAGCTCCGTATACCGTATACCGTACGTTTCAATTTATGACATTTGCGATATTTATTATTTATTATTCTCAGTGTCGACTTTATAAATTTGGATCTGTTTGCTTTCCTTCTTTTTTTTACATCTATACTCGAGCTTACGGTTCATCAGATAACGCACGCGTCTGTATCGACTGATTGCACGTTTCATCATTTTCCGCGCGCTTCTATTTTATTTCTTCTTTTATTTCCGCGAATTGAATCCTGATGTAATTTCGCTTCTAATTGAAACTCTAAATCAATCTAATTGTTCGCATTAACACGATGCATTACGAGCCGTGTGCATGCCGCGGTATACAACTGTTTACGATGAATAATGAAGCCGAACGAGAAACGAGTGTCCACTCGACCTCGACGACAGAGCTACCATCGTCGTGCATATTGCATTTCTAAGTAGGACGGTACGTTCGATGCGGGCGTTGCATCTCGCACCGCGGCGCATCGTTCTCAAAAGTTACGGAAAAATGTGAAGCAAAGTTTGACCGGCAATTTCAGGGAAGCTCGTGAATCTTAGGAATCGAGAGAAGGATCATCGTGAGATAAATATCAATCGGAAGGCCGATTTCGCGAGAGCGCTTTTTTGCCTCTCGTTTTGCCTCTGTTTTGTCCTCTCAGTGTCAGTAGTACGCGGACGAGAATATGTCACGCTATTCCATACATCTTTTATCATTACGTTGAGGTAAAAATGTGCAGAAAATATTCCGTATACATGACGCAAGTTAATTTTTAATTTTTTTCACGCGCGGCAAGAGAAAGTAATGGTTGAAGGAAAATCACATATATTATTTCGATGCTCGATATTTGCCTAAAAATTTATCGTCAATCTACAGGCATGCGCTGACCTCAACAACGATTTATCGAAATATATACAGTAAAAATTGCAAAACATACATGTGTGTTGTCACATTAGTTGTACGAACACTGCACGAACCGTACGCGTAAAATATTACAACGATGTCAGCATTACAAATATCTTCACGGGCACGGCAAACATGAAAAATGTGCAAAAATACGTAATGACATAACTGTAATCTGACATTGAAAAATGTCCTATATCTCGGAGATCTCGACTTTCACGTGCTTCCTCGATCCTTCGCCGATCCTTAGCAGCGAGTGATCCGCGTTGAATCAGACACGCACCGAATGTTCTGCTAGTAGGCGCGATAACATCCATTTACAGCCATTTACAGCCATTTACAGCGTGCCACATCGTCCCTCGAGACACGGTTTTTATCGTGTACGAATGATAATTGAGACATTTCTGCGGCGCTTTTACGAGTAGAACGTTCGGCCCGTAGGATCGCGTAGGTCCCACCGCGAAGGCTCGGAGCCGCAAAGCACCCTCGCTTGTAATTACATCCTCGGTCCTCAACAACCCTCTCCTTCTCATTGTCTACACATATTTGCGTAACTTTTGTCGCGCTCGTTGCCCAACGAGCGGGAGCCAACCTCGCAACCTCGTTATTCTTGCGCCGTTCCGTCAGAGAATTTGTAATTGAAAAAGCCATTTCGCGATTAACACCATCGAGTCGTTTTTTTTTCCCCAAGATGAGGAGGCGAATGTTTCACGCATAAATGTTGGCATTCGAACGACGCACGCGTACGAAAAGTCTAAAGTTTATCCGAAATATAAAACTCTAAAATAATCTCTCTCTCTCTGTATAATTTTGATTTACAGTATCTTTCTGAAAGTTGCCAACGGTAATATGGTAATATTTCATTATCATCATTATCATCATCATAGCTTCCTTCTTTACACCTGACACCTGATTTTATCGAATGAGCTCTTTACAAATAATTATGAAAAGTGGTTTATGGTTTTTCGAATGCCTCTCACGATTAAGATGATCAAGTGAAACGCCGAGAAATTGCACGATTCAATTACAAATTCGACTGGTTGGTTCGCGCTTGTGGGAGGCGCGATGCGAGCGCGTGATGTAGTTATCCCATAGATTATTATTCATATCGCATGAAACATGGGCGCTGCGGCGAAACGTTCCCGCGCGAATGAGCCTCCGCGAATGAAGCGGGGCATTACGACCGCGGGAAATCGCGGAGGAAAGCAACTACTTTGATTTCTCCTCATCGTTTAAATATTTATGACTGTACGTATCCGTATTTGAGATACGATGGAGCGACAAAATGCACATGAATATAAGCACCCTCTGATTGTGTCGCTCCTTCATTAAAACGACGATGAAATTGCGTGCAGACTGTGTGTGATTCGTGAATTAACACATTCAGCTAATTCTGTCGATGAATAAATTTATCGCGCGCAAGCGTGTGCGCGTCTATTACATTTGTTACCTCATCTCAATGGAAGCTCGTGAATTTAGCAACATCATGCGTTATCACTTGCTTCGTAACGCTTCGTATGATGGCGATACGATTCGAGTACGCGACAAAATCTCGCAAAATTCAGAACAGAGTTGAGAAGACTCACAATCTCAGGAATTTTTAATTCTCTCCAATTGCTCTTTAATTTAATTTACATAAAAGAAACTATAACGATACTCGTGGTTATTTTAGCTAGTGAATCTTTTCCTCTGTTGAAACTCGAGCAGCCGAATGTACATTTATTAGTTTGATAATCACATTCGTGTAGCAGAAATCTCATTTCGTCAGATAAAAATCGAGAATCCGCAGGCTCTAATTTCGATCAAACGAGACGTCGTTAGTTGCGGAGCGCACTCTAATTCCAATTGAAACTTTGATTACCCAGCAACCTTTTTGATGACGATAAACGATTTAACGAGAGAGAGAGAGAGAGAGAGAGAGAGAGAGAGAAGGCGAGCGCGTGAACACACGTTGCGAACTTTCCACGTTAAATCCATATCCAATCAGTAGCGAATATCTCTCCGTTTTTTTTAATGCCATACATATCCGATTTCGTACTTTCGCATGCTATTATCTCACGGAGAAGAGTGCAAAGTAAATAAAATTTCTCTCCCGGATAACGTGAAGGCACGCCATCAATCAAATCGTCCTCACTCAGCACTTTGCGTCGATTTTCTAGTATTAATAATTCGTATAAAAGCCCGCGCTTTTCTGCGTTCGAGAGACGAATGCATCACCAATATCGAATCTGCATACCGTATATGCGTATATATACACATATAGAATACTAAGTACTTGGATATGAAGTGGAACGTAGTAGACATTGTCTGCGCATAATCTGCTCGCATGTGACAAAATATCCCGGATATCGTAGACGTAGAAACGCGCACGTATCCGTTTTCGATATAGTTATTTATAAAAAATTCTACGTCAACACACCGTGGACGAGGGGGGGGGAGAGGGGGGTAAAGGAGATGTCTGTTTGGAGAGCAATAGTAGCCAAGTTGCGGATAACGATTCGACTCCTTCATTTAAACTCGTTAATAACTCGGAAGACGGAATCTTTTGTCGTCCGGCAGTTATAGCACGAATAAAATAATTCTTCGATCGCCAAAAACAACGGAAGAACGTTTCTCTTCCTTAGATTTTTCTTCGAATTGCGCGACTGCTAATAGTGTGCTAATTTCGCGTTGACTCGAGTTCCATTGGAACTCTTGCTGGTTATTCTTTCGTGTCATCACACTTTAGATTTCTTTCAGTTTCACCTCTCTCGTGCGACGAGGAGGTAAAAATACTTCAGACAATTTGCGTCCTCAGTGCACACGATTTAATAATTTAACGTAGAATTATGATTTATCAATTCTCTGGGATTATTTACGTAGTACAAAAAAATCACGCGAATGAAACATGTGCACAAACGATATTTGGGATTACATCAATAATTCAGTAAATATCTCGTTGATGTTTTAATTACATCATTAGTTTAGCGAGTTATATAAGCGACAGAGTTCGTCGCTTTCTTAACACGTAATTTCCTCGGTGAAATCGATACTTGCTCGAACGAAAACAACCGCTACTACTTTTGTCCTTCCGAATGGTCGTTTTTCTCAGTGCACAACTCAACTCGTGAGTTGTGTGTCTTGCTATCTCTAAAAAAAGGAAAAACCGAAAAAGAACATTCCGCCAACCATGAACCGCTCTCTCTCGCGTTAGTAACGAGCACCGAGTCGACTCAACGGTCGCGATTTATATTTCGGAGGCACCGTCAGAAAGCGAGTTCCGGATTGATATCGGTTTAAAAAATGGACGAGAGAGAGAGAGAGAGAGAGAGAGAGAGAGAGAGAGAGAGAGAGAGGAAGAAACGCATTCTTTCGAGGCGGACGCGCGTTTCTACGTGGATTCTCTAGGCACAGCGATGGTTTACGAGTGATCTGGATAAGGTGTATCAGTGCGCGTTGGGAACGTATATATGTATATTCTGGCTAGAGGGATTGAAATTTTCGCGCGTTGCTAAGCGCTGTGCGCGGTTCGCGCGCGCTATCTCTTCTGTCCACGCTCACACGGCGAGAAAAGTTTTCGAAAATTGAAACACGGAGGCAGCTGTGCGCTAAATTGATGACTCGTTGTAAAAGTGACCGTCGTAAGCGTCGCGCGGGCGGAAAATTATTTTTCGCGGAAGAAGGCTTTTATAGCACGTATAGTACGGTGCAACGGCACTGTAAAATTCTGCACAATAAAGATGTCAGTTACGGGAACATTTATGAGATACCTACAAGAGAGAATGAGTAAAAGTAATTTTCTCGTATTTTCTCGTCGATTAGATGAAATATATTAT